AGAATGAAGAGGTGTTGGCCGAAACTAGAGCCTATTTTGATGCAAAGGACAAATCGTACTACAAAAATTTCTTTTATTTTAACAAAAACACTCGTGACAGACAAAATTAGAAAAATAAAGTTGAAAGACTTAATGGTAGTGGAACACTTTAGGCTAAAAGTAAAGTTGCTCAGAGTACCAAAAAACATCTTAAAATTTCCGTCGTCACTAACACCAGAGAGTTGGATTAAGCTGGCATTGCAAAACTGCACCCTCGAACTGTTTGGAATTTTATGATTACATCCGATTTTAGAGCACCACGAAAACAAGCCACAATTATTGAAGTAAAATTGTGAAGCGTTTCTTATATTTAAGAGTATTTCAACCGTGATAAAGATTTTGTGATACTGTAATTTTTACCGATGCGTCCAAATTTAAAAAAAAAAAAACTTAGATCGTTTAATGTGTTACAAAAATGTCGACGTTTGGGCACAATTCCGATTTCTTTGGCACCGCGATTTGAAGGTACCGTTGGAAAGAGGAAGTTATCGATACTGCAAACGCTTAGTTTAGGAGATATTCGACCTTAAAGTTGAAAAAATACCAAAATTCCAACATTTCGAATTTAACCACATTATACACACTTGATTCACAATTTTCTCTTCAAATTAATTAAATTACACTATAAACTTTTAAATAAATGCACATTTTACACTCGTAGTGAACGCCATTTGTGTGCTTAAAATTACGACGAAATGGAGCGCTGCCATGTGATAATAAGGAAATTCGCTGAAATTCCTTTTTTCCCAAAAATTCCTCTATTCATGCATATGGATATGTTCTTTATTTACTTTAATAAACATATAAATAATATTATATAGTAATAAATTGGAGGATGGAGTCATGTGTAGAAGTTCACGCAAGTGAGGAAAGTTTTCTGATCGCCATTCACGTGGGAGTGGCCAGAAACGATTCTTTTACATATGACTCAAGCAGCTCACGACTTCCGGTCTTTGACCAAGTATCCTCTGGGTAGCCTAAGAACATCCGT